CACTGGGATGTTCTGGGGCTGACAAGAGCCACCAGACTGGGTGGCTTCTGTGCAAGGATCCATCTGATCTGAGGCACTGGAAAACAAACACCTGATATTCCCCCTGACTCCAAGAGCAGCTGTGTTAGCTCAGGCTCAGAAATCAGGGAACAAAGGGTGCCTGATAAAGCTGCTGTAGGCCCATCTGCTCAGAAGTGATTTCTGGGATGAAGGAAATAAGAAAGGGAGAAAAGCCCTTAAAGCACGAGCCTTTTTTGGGTTTTAGGATGAATCCTTTGCAGTTTGTGACTGGGGTTGCCAGAGCAATCCTGAGTGTGTCTGAACAAAGGTAGAGCTGAAGGCACACACAAGTGGGCAGGGCTTGTGCCCTCTCTGGGGCTGCTTGGGCACTTCCACCTGCTGAAACATCACCCAGCAGGTGCCACATCAACTCTGGGGAAGGATTAGTACAATTAATTGGTAACTTTTAATTTTGTACTATTAAAATGTGTCTTGAAAACAAATTCTCATTTCAAAGGCTGTTCCAAGGCTCAGCCACCTCCTGACTTTGGAGAGGGACAGGGGTTGCTGAGCAAAGGCATGGAGTGGTCTGGCTGGAGAGACTGAGGGTACAGCAAACCTGGGATCTAGACCCTCACACACCTAAATTAAGGAGAGTTTGAAGTTACTTTGGACAACAGGACTGATTTGTGGATGGAGAGGGAAAAACAATTTCCCCTCCTTTCCCACAACACCCCAAGGTTATTCTGCAATGAGCTGCGAGCCTGCACCCATTGCACTCCTGGAGTTCCAAAGATGTCCTGGAGCTGCAGGGACCCATGGAGGGTGAGCACACAGCCCTGCAGGCAGTTGCTGTGAGTCAAACACAAAAGAAAGCATGCAGCTCTGCACTGGTACCAACAGAGAGAGATCCCATGGCAACTTTTATTCTGCAGCTCTCAAACAAACTGCCACAGCAGCGAGCAGGAGAGGTGGGAGGTGGCTGTAAAACCACAGCCATGAGACAGCTCCCTCCAGGACACTTGTGCCCACATTTCCTGGCTCCTGTTTCACTGTTATTTGTAAAAGAGCTGAAGAAGACAGACTTTTGCCAGCCTATCACTGGAGAAGGCACCAGCAGCCACAGCTCCAGCTCAGCACAGAGCAGAAGCAGCTGTCTATTAAACCATTGGAGAACTTTGCAGTGCAGCTGCCTTTGGAGCATAAATAATTTCTGTTAATGGGCCAGATTGGCAAATGAATTCAATTGTTTCCTCTCAAATAGGGTTTTTGCATCCAATTTTGACAGGGTGTTTGAAGTGAGAGCTCTCAACTCTGTGCTTTTTGGAGAGGTTTTCCAGACACATTTCTGAAGAACACCTGGGAATTTGGTGACATTGCAGTATTTGTAAGATCTTGTATAACACAGTAGCAAGAACCAGCTACTAAGCATGATCTAGAACCATCTCCATCCCTGTGCCACAAGTGTCTGTCAGACTTTGAAGGAAAGGAGCAGGACATATGGGGAAAAAACCCCAAGGAAACCAAAAAACCCAACAACCCCACATTTTCCTTTAGACAGCAAATGCTCAGCCTAACCAGTTCCACAGTCAGGATGCTGGATGGTCAATCAGAGAGTGGCATGAGTTGGCATTGCTGCTGAGACAAAAACATGCCCAGCTCTGGTCTTTGGCAAGTTACTCCATCTCTGACCCATGCCAAGTCATGAGAGGCCTTTGAGAGGGTGAAATCCACCCCCTCCTTCAGCCTTTGGTACCCAGTTTGTGTGAGAGTAACAGGATCTGCTGGTGGGATTTAGGTGTTAGAGGCAGCTTATGATCACTGGGAAAACTCAGGTTTTGTCTCTTTGTTTATCAGGAACACTCCCAGTGAACATGGCAGGACTTTTCATGATGAGAGAAAGAGGAAAGAGTCCACCTCCATTAGCCAAAAACCCCATAATAACGTTGCTGGACAAGTCAGCACAGAGTGGCCATTCAGGAGAGGCTGCAAAGGAACAAAGCTGAGTACCTAAGGGTTGGACTCATGATCCTTGTGGGTCCCTTCCAACTCAGAATATTCCATAACAATGGGACTTCTATGGATGGCAGAGTACGTTTGCTTCTATATATTTACATTTTTAATCTGGTACCATAAGGTTTAATCACTTTTGACTCAAAAGGCAAACAGCCTGTGTTGCTAAACCTCCAGCTACCAGCACAGCTTTTTAAACCAAGCTCTTGCTTAATGATAACTCTGGTACCATGGATTTTATTCATTTTAATAACCCCCTGGATTCAGTTTGTTCTGTGTTGCTGCATCCTCTGCAAGGGCAGTGATCTTGCACATTATAATGGTTTCTGCATTAAGCATCTTCTGTGAAAAATCAGAAAACTCCAGCTGAGCAAATTGCTGGGCGTTGTTGGGGCTGAGCTTGGTGCTTTGAAAAAAAGAAATCCATCTCTCCTGCAAGCCTTAACCAGGACTGGTGTGCATGCCAGCTGTCAGCATGGGGGAAGCAGGGTAATTGGAGCGATTAAAAGCTCACAATGGTTAGAGACACGCTTTTGCATTTAAGGTGGAGTGAAACTGTGCTGTGACAGTGCCATGGCTGCTCTGGGGAAGGCTGAGGAATCCTAGCTGTCATCTCTGCAGCAGTATTTTACATTCTGGAACCTTGACCCCACCAGTTGGCAGCTACATAAACACCTCCAGACACGCTGGGGAGCAGCAGCACAAAGGGATGGATGTGCTGACCCCCAAGCTGTGCTAAGGAGCTGTGCTTTAAAAATATCCTCCACTTGAATACATAATGAAATAGTGGCAATTTCAGTAGCTAATGTGAGGTGAACACAGGAGGGCTCTTATTTATTGTTGCAAACAGTGCAGGGAATGAGAAATTTCCACATATATTTGAGAGGATTCAGTAAAATCTCAGAGATAGGGATCCAGAATCTCAGTAGAAATCAGGACCATGCAGAGAGCAATGACATTACAGTTCATTTTAATTACTGCACCAGTGGGATTTTGCAAATTTATCTGCTGCTTCACCCCCTCAAAGGATTGAGCCAAGCAATATGAGTGTGCAGGACATCTGAATATTATCTAAGTTTTCCTGAAAATAGTTTTATCTTCCAAGGAGACCTTGAGGAAAAACAAACAGTGCTGTCCTCTACCTCCAAAGGCTTTCTTTACATGCACATTTCACACTGGATAAAAATAGCCTTAAACCCTGGGTTAAGTAAGCTTCTTATATGGGAAAAACCTATTTCAAGTGGACAAAGGAGACAGAAGTGGCACACCATAAAAAGGCCTTTGGTTTCAGCGTCTGCAACTTGAAACACCACTCTGGTCTCATCTTCTGTGTCCCAGAGGGAACCAACCAACACTGATTGCAGAGAGCAGAGTAAGCATGAACAGGGTGTGGGCTGTCTACTTCTCCTTTCTGCATTTCAAGATCAGGCTAAGTTCCTTTTCAAGCCTAACTGGAAACTGTGAAGAAATATTCACAAGGAAAAGACAAAAATCCATTCTGTATCTCTCATCAGTACTCAAAACTTACAAGCTGGTCAAGATCTGCACTATAGAAGAATCAACTGCAGTAATTTCCATAAGTAGTAATTTTGAAACTCTCTCTCACACACACATAGCTTATTTCTGTTGTAATTATTTCTGAGTTACAGTTCAAAGGAAAGTTGAAGAAAGTCAGAGAACAGGATATGAGACTTCCTGGTGCATTTGCAAACTGCAGTGCATAAAGCACTTGAGCTCTGTAGATTACTCCAAAGGGAATGGGAAGGGAACTAAGGAAAGAAAACCCATTGTTTTGCTAAGCTTATTAATCAAGTGTTCAGAAACAAGAGTGAAAAAAGAGCTAAGCAAGATATTCAGAGACTGCATGCTGTTGCTCAGTTCTGCTGGTCTGTTCCTCTTGGCTACATTTCAAGCACTCTTGGTCGCTTCAGTGTGCCTCAGTTTCCTTAAACACCCCACACTCCCTCAAAACAAGAAGTCAGAAGGTTATTCATTTCTCATAATTAGCCACACAAAGATTATTACCTTGGAGGATTCCGGCCTGAGCCCTTAAAACTGATCCTGGTAGGACTAGAAACAAAAGCTTTATTATTATTGTTTCTTATTAATTACTACCCTTCTCCTTAGAAGCCTTGTGGTCAAACCCAGAGTTTCTGTGAGAGCTCCTGGGGTAGATGTAGGACCAGCAGCTGGGTAACAGAGGTGACAATTCATCACTGTCCTACAGCAAGCCATTCCCACACCTGAATCCGTGCCTTTGGAGATGGAGATCAGTGAAATTAAATTAAAAGTGAAATTCAGTGGATCACTCACCACAGCAACTTAATGCTACAGCTCTGGAGGCCAAGCTCCACCACTGGCTGTGAATAGTTCAAGGCCTAGAAAGGAATCCACTTTGCTGCATAACAAATTCCTTTGATAAAACTGAGAGCAAGACAAAACCAGGAAAAAGTGAAACTGGAAGAAGAAACTAGAAGGAAAGAATACATCAATACAGCACTGCTACTGAATAAAGAATTAAAGTAATAAAATCACTACAGAAACCACAATCTTTAGGCAGAACTAGGTACCAATACTGATGATGGGTGGCTGTGGAAAGCTGCTGTACCCTCACAAGGTTCAGTCAGAGAATCCCCACCTGCCTTGAACCAGCACAAACACATGCAGCTGTTCTTCTCAACATAATATTTAGAACACTAACACATCTCCATAAAGCCCTTTAAACTAAGGTTTTATATCCCAACCTGATGCAAAAACTGTATTAGCACTGAGAACTGTCAGGGAGGCATTTCAGAGTTCCATGTGGGTTCTTCTTTCTCCTCTTTTTTTTCCTGCTAAAGGAAATATCTTGGAAACCTTGGAAAGGACAGGCCTCCTGTGTCTGTTCAGTAATGAGCCGTGGGCATGTCTGACCATTTGTTAGTGCATTGAGAGGGATTTCTCCTCCAAATAGATAAAAAGGAATTAGGGCTAATTGAACAACATACCTGAATACGCCAACAGCAAGAATGCAAAACTCTGAAAACTGCAGATCTTCCTTCAATTTTCTCTTGGACTTTGCCATGGGAGATTTTGCCAGCATGAAACAATCCTTTGAAGCAATGGAACAAATGTGTGAGTCACTTAAAAAGTTCTCATTTTAGACCAAAAGCTGAATTAGTTGCCCACTCTAATGGGGACAGATATTAGGCTGAAACCTATGGCTCCACTGATTCAGCACATTGGTGTCCCAGGAGACAAAATGTTCCTGTTGTCCAGGCAGGCTGGAATTGCAGGAGAGCAGGGAAGCTGCCCTGCAATGCTTTACAGAGCCTAAAACTGCAGGCAAAGGAAGCAAAATTTTGTTGAAAAGACAGGAACTGAAGTGGGGAAAAAAAACTTACTTGCAGCCTTAATTTATTTCAAAACACAGACAGATTCACCTGGATTTAACAGCTTTCTAGAGGAGATGGGCCATGCCTCTTCCCTGAGAAATCAGCAATGACACTAAGCAAGTGAAGGCACATAGCCAATGTCAAACTGTACCTTGACAAGCCTACAATTAAAAAAAACACACTTGGGAAAACCAAAGAGTTTAAGGGCACCTGTGTTAAAGGGCAAAAAAAGAGACTTTACAATTGGAACACAATTATTGAGCTCAATACAAGGGTTTTTAGGTGAAACTGTGTGGCTTCTATTATGGGAAAGGCTGATTAAAGCATAATAATGAACTCATTGGGTTCAGAAAATTACTTGTAAGGCAAACAAAAGAATGAAAGGATAAAAAAATACAAAAAAGACTCAACAGCCATCACATTCAAGGTAACACAAACAGAAAACACAGGCAGTGTTTCCACACACCCCACCAGTGCTTTCCCAAAACCAGAGCTGTGACTTGTCTCCCTCAGACTAAACAGGAAACAAGAACTGGTTTGGACTGGAGCCACATATTCACAGTGAAATGATTGCTGGAGAAAGCATTTGGTACCAGCTTCAAACCCCACCATAAGACAGAGATTGCTCATCTAATTTCTTTTCTCACATATGAACAAGAAAGATTTTAAACACTGCTTTCTGTGGGGTTTTCACCTAGAAAAGCACATGGCACTGATCTTTAGCAATTAGTAGGATGGTATGTACATTACAGCAATGAAAGTGCAGCAAACCAAAATGATAGCAAGCAGAAAGAAGATTTAGCACAGGAAAATACAGACTGAACATGAAATTCCTAGACAACACATTTGATGCACCATTATTTAATATGTAAAGCCCCAACCTTCCTATTTATTCCTGTTGAAATGCATAATGTGAAAATAACTTTGACTTTTCCCTCCCCAAAGGCAAATTCTCAGCTTTGAAAATTTTAGCTCTGAGGCTGTCACACATCTGCTGCCTTTTTACACAGAGATAGTCAGACAATGTTGGTTTCCAACCTCTATTTTCACCTTCTGCATTTAGAACTGAGCCCATGCCAGGTATTAAGGAGTTCTAGATGCTCTCCAGTCAGAAACTTAAATACTGTGGTGAGTTGAGAAACTGCCACACTGGTAAATCCACTGCTCCTAATGACTGCAGTCTACTAGCAAACCAGGACTTATTTATTGCAGACATTATGAATAATTTCTAACAACAAATCCATCTGAGAATTCTGCCTTTTGCCAGCAAACAAAGGAAGTGGCAGGATTTCCCAAATTAATTTTAATGCATTATTTACCAAAGCCTCTTGTATAATGAGGTTGGGAACAACTCTCCGCTGACAGACAGAACTAGAGTAACACTCTAAACTGATATTTTTCATCTTCTGTTTCTACAAAATGGCAAGGACTAGAAACATTCATATTTTTATCCTTCATCACCTTTACCAACACTGTGACCCAAAGCCTTATATGCTCATTAATATGATTAATTAATATGCTTATGTGCCACTTAATACATAGCATATAATGAAATATTTACTGACATGGCACCCCATCACTAATCATACATTTTGTTAATGAAGAAAAAAGTAGTGCTTGCAAAACTAAAGATAAATTAAACCAAAACATCTCTAAAATCTTCAAAAGACCTTATCAGAGTGTACTTTTCATACAGAGCATTTCCTCCAGCAGTCTCACCCCAAGGCCTGCTCAAAGCCAATCAATCACTCCCCACCCTCCTCCTCATCACTTCCTTTTAAGCAATAGCTGGAAATAGCCCCATCTGCTCTGAAAATCAAAGAGCAGCAGCTGGTGATCAGCCCCTTTTAGAGCAGCCTGTGAGACTTAAGGATATTGTCCTGAGCAACTCAGTCAAAATTAATTATAACCTAGATGGAATTAATTAGAGGCTATCTTTATTTCATCTCCATTGTTGTGCAGACAATTGTTTGCTACTCCTCACATGACTTGGTAATTACAGTAAGATGAAACCACTTAAGATGAAATGTCCTGAATGGGTTTTGATTCAGATTTACAAGAGTGTGTTTGCAGGGCTGGGGGGAGAAGAGTGCTGTTTGTTAAATACAGATCTCCACACACACACACACACACACACACATAAAAGGTTTGTCAGCTCTTACTATTGCTCAGTTGGGGCAGCAAAACAGAAAAGTTTTTGATGATTAAAAAAAATTAAAATACTAACTAGGAACAAGTTATATCTAGCACAGAGAAATTGTGGCGGAGTTCTGCTGTAAAATTCAGATTTTTAGATTCAGGAAGCCTTGCCCTCCTATTTGAAGGTGAAAGAAGCTTCCTGAGATCTGTTACACATTACCAGTAGTTTTATCTTGCACTGTGAGAGGGAGTTTCTATAGGCACTTGAATTCCAAGCCAGATCAAATGGCTCTAATCAGTATTTTTTCAGCCTTTTATCAAGGCAGGCAAGTGCTGCACGTGATGCAGAGGCTTCCCAGATGGTTTTCAGCTAAAAGCAAAGAGTCTTATCAGGACTGAAAAGAGACAGTGGCAGATTTCTATTTGGTCAGTAACCACTGCTCTGCATATTAACATCTTTGATTAGATTACAGGAATGAGATTCTATAGTTTGATAGTATAAAACCCATTTGAGAACAGCAAAAAACCCCCAAACCTTGCATTTAAGGGAGGAAAACATTCATCTAGTCATAATCTACTGAAGTAATTTCTCCCCAGCAGCATAACAAAGCTAAATTATGCTAAAACAATAATGTCTGTTGCACATGGGCTTGGGGGAGGCTAAATGGAAGCTGACCCTCCCTGTGGACATGAGTGCTCCATGTTTCCAGGGGTAATAAATAACATATCCCCTGCTGGAACCAGCAAATGTAATGCCTGGCACTCCTGGGAATTGGCTAAACTGAGCACAAAAGTGGAGCTGAGTGATTAATTCATGTGGTGCCTGCTACCAGGAAGATCCACAGGCCCTGGGTCATGGGGACATTAATTTTAGAGTGTGAAATCCTATGAAATTATCATGACTTTCACATGTATAATACATGAGGAGGCAGGGAGGCTCAGCTTCGTTCTGTCTCTTCTTACAAGTAGCAGCTCATGAGTGAATTTTTGCTTCATCAGTCATGTGACAGCCTGAGGAGAAGGAAACAGCAAAGACAAAATGGTTCTTGATAGCAGCAAACTGTTCTAAACGTGCTCAGCTTTCTCGTTTCTGAAAAATCCACAGGAGAATGTGTTTAAAACCAACAGGAAAACCATCAGGTGGTTTTTGGGGCAGGTAAGTCACAGGCATTGCAGTGGGAGCCCTCCCAGGTGTTCCAGAGCAATCCAAGACTTTCCTGAGGTAATTCCATTTAAAATGAACATTCTGCATCCATCCCTGGTTCCACAGCAGTGATTTCACATGGAGGTACAGGGCTACACCCCGCAGTTGGTCTTTGGGTACTAAAATATTGCAGTTATACAACACATACACACAAAATGTTCAGAAAATTAAAACTGAATAAGTACACAACTCTCTTGTGGTTGTCACAGATATGCAAGATTAACTAAGTGTAGCAATAAATGAAATGAATACACATAATTTCCTTAGACCTTAATAATCCTGTGACAATCTGACTTGATTTCCAAACCAGTTTTCCCATTTTTTATCCTCTGGAGAACAATTGCTGTTTACCAAGTTGCATCCCAGAAACACTGCAGTAAAATATTCAATCTCCTGTGAGCAGAAAAAGGTCATCATGGGCATTATGTTCAGTGGAGCACAGAAAAACCCAATTCATCCAAATAAAATGAATTACATGTGTTTATTTAAAAGCTATGACTTCTCATTATGTAATTGGTTTAATTAACAGGAATTTTAGTCTAAATCCAAAATAGCAACAAAAGATTCTTTGTAAGCTAGCAAAAAAGAAAAAAAAGTGATTTATTTATGTGTGCAAAATCTTAAATATTTCACACACCACTGTTCAAAGGATCTTTCTGTGATTTCAGCCTCATTTTAATCTTACCAGCATAAGACACTGTTTACAGTTCCTCCTGCTCTTGAAGAGGGTTTAAAAACCTTGTGTCCCAACCAGCCACACTGTAATTTCCCACATTTAATTAGAAAATAGATGAGTTCAGTTTATTTGAACTGGTACTTGAAGTAAGCAATTAAGTGCTTCACTTAATAGGAGTGTGTGCTGTAAATCTGGCCTTTCATTACATGCACAGCTCCCCACACAAAAGGTTTCTGGGAGCAGACAGAAGCTTGCAGGCGTTGCTTTAATAAAAATACACTATTTAGGAATATTGTGATGTATTTCCACTGCCCCTGAGGGACTTACACTAATACAGCCTATTATCTGTCCTTATTACATTGAACTAAGTATGCAATTAATTGGCAATCTGTAGTGGATTATGGAAACATTCCAGATGGATGGGGGTTTATCACAGCATTTTGCTGCAGCAGATACTGTAATTTCCTAACTTTGGGACATTGACTTTACAAGAATTTATTTCTTTGTCACATAGGTCTTGTGAGCAAGAATTTCCATTTCCTTTTACAGCAGAGGCAAGGGCTGGAGATGCAGCACAAAGCTCTGTGAGATAACACAGTATTGCTTCAGCAGACTGTCTGTGCTCACACACAATGGGATGTGTGGGCTGCACCTCCCTCAAGAAATGAAAATGCAATCAAATTGACTTAGTTAATATT